GGTGCCGGACCAGGGACCCCCATCCTGGCCTCGAGGCGTGTGCCAACTCAGGTAGCTGTAGTGGTCCACCGGTGGCCCCCAGACTCCCTCAGGTGAAGTGGAGTGGGGGGGATGAGGAGCCTGACTCTGAAGCAGAGGAGTCCTGGGACCTCAGAAACATGGGAAGAGCGACTCCAGAGGGAGCCAACAGGTGATCTGACCCATCCGTAGCCCAGAACGAAAGAGCAGTCGGTACGACTGGTACCGAAAAGGTCGGTGCCATAGGCAAAAATCAGTCCTGATGCAAATGATGGTACCAGAGCGCCCACATGCTTCACCACTGAGGACGGTGACAAGCTCCATGGGACCATCTGCAGCACCTACTGCATTGGTGCTGAGGAAGGGCCCCATGTAACACACAGAGTAGCACCCTGGAACCCCCATATTCACCACTGTCATATAATTATGCTATGTTTGGTACAAAGTTTGCCTTGTGAGGTATCATTCTAAAAGTCTTGATCTGTTGAACTTTAATATCCTGTTTTATTGTATGTGAGGTTATGAACTATTGCTGTATGTGTTACTGAAATGTGCTGTGAGCTTGGGAACACCCACAACCAGCCTTTCAGGTACAACAATGGAGTAGTCAGATAGCAATTAATGGCTCATCAACACCCATCAAGGAAAGAATCCACTATCCCAGAGACTGTATGCAATAGAGACTATTTGACCAATGGGACTGCCTGATCCCCATGTCACAGGAAAAGATCTTTCCAGCGAGGTGGAAGAAAACATAAAAGAGGGAAGTGACATCATCACTTGGCCTCTCTCCCCTCCCCCCGCCCAATTCAACTTGACAACAGCATCACAGTGTGAGAGGGACCCCAGGTTGGTGGGACAGAGGGCTCAGTGCTCCCACAGTCCAGGTTGCACCCCGGGGACCCTGTCACACCAAGTACTGAAGAACTTTGTACTGTTTCTGATACCATGTCCATGCCAAGCCCCGGAGGGAGAGTATCATGGTGCAGAGCTAAGACTTTGGCAGCACACTCTGACTGAGAGGCCCTTGTGGGGCGGCAGCCTCGCGAACTCTTGGACCAGAAAGGCAGAGTAGGTCCGCCACAGCCTGGTCTACTGTTTGTACTGGCATCGTTCCCGTCGGTACTGGATTCAATGCATGCCTGGAGGCCGGAACCAGAGTTGACAGTTCGGGGCATCTGCCCTCCCTACCCTGTACCAAGGGAGGGTCAGAAGCACCTGCATCATCCCGCGCGTCAGAGCCAGCACCGTGCAGGTCCACACTCTTATTAGGGGAGGCAGAAGAATTGTTCTGGACTTGGAACACTCCCGACTGGTCTTATGAGACCTCTTCTTTGGTGCCCATGCTGGAGAACGGCTCCTGTGTCTCTTCGGAGAGGCCCCTGCCCTGGAACAGGAGGCAGTAGCGCTCTCCGAGCCAGAGGGCGAGCTGCTGCCCAAGGAAGGCCTCAGCACTGGGTCAGGCCTCGTGGCCTACTCAAGCAGGGGCTGCTTAAGGAGAAGGTCCCATGCCACCCAAGTCCGCTTCTTGAATGATCTGCAGATCGAACACCATGCCTTAAGGTGGGCTTCACCAAAGCAGAGCAAGCACCGTGTGTGGTGGTCGCGGTTGGGAATCGCCACTCCGCATGAAGAGCAATGCTTGAACCCCGGTAAAGACATCACCAGGGAGCACTACCACCGACACTAATACTACACTAAAACTTTTAGCAACTATATACAACAGAGTAGGCTAAGATACAAATTCACAAGGCTGTAAAGCAACAAGTGCACAAGACTAACTCCAGCCGATGGGCCGTAAGAAGGAACTGACGGGGGGTTGGGACAGCGCTGCCTCATATAGCCTGAGGAGGGTTTACAGCCTCAAGCACCACCTCTCTATGGATGCTGCTAGGCAAGAGTCTCTGGCTCCGGGGCACATGCAGATCTACTTGGAATACACGTCTGCATCTACTCAAAGAACCACACGTCATGTGTCTTCTGCAAATCCAGAAACATCAAGGATAACCTGGTCCCACACCTGGAGAGCAAGAGCATGAAAACTCTCAGACAAAAGGCACTTCCAGCGAGACTAGAGGGGTTGATTTAAGAGGAATGATTAAATGAGAACTGGCCTAAAATCATCACTGGTGTAGTATCAGTATTGTACCTGAGGCCTGAATCAGGACCAAGGCCCCATTGTGCTGGGCACTGCACCTGCAGCAAGACAAGGAACGGCAAGTAGCTAACCATCTAATTGTATAACAAAAGTGCAACGAGTGCGTTTAATAAATAGGAGGAAGAATTGAGAGGAGGAGAAGGGTAAGAGTGGGAGGGAAGTTAAACTAATTGGTTATATTAATGCAGTCACTGGGTTCTTGGATTTGATCTGAGGTAACGGATGGTCTACTTAATACTGTATTTATAAAAGATTGTCAGACACAGAGTTGGACGGGTGCTCATGTGTTGCAGCACAGTAAAAATCCAAATAAGTGAAAAGAAAAAAATAAGATCAGGGGTTACACAAACTCATGAATGCACAGTTTGATCGGTCAAAAAAATGTATATGAAGATGTATCTAATCCGCTGCTTACTTCCATTTAAACAAATTATTGCTATTTTGAACTCCAGTTTCCTTTCCCTTTAGCTCGGCCTTCACATTACAAATCAGTGATGAGGTAAACCCAGCGTCTCCAGAAAACAGCCACCTATAAGCATGCGCCTAAGGGGAAGAGGCTTGACCTAGAGCAGGACTTGGGGAAAACACCAGAGATTGTGTACACGTGGGGTATAAGCAGGAGAACTGAGTAAAGAGGGTGAGTTAATTTCAGGAAAGTTTCCCTAGAAAGCGACAGCTCTGTTCCACTTTCAATCAAGCTATAAAGAACATGAAAACCCCACTGTTGAGGTATTTACAATCAGAACCAGGACAGACCCCGGGGGAACAGACTGTAGGGAATAAATACTCATCCTGTTTTGTCTGCAGGTGCTGGGATTTCAAGCTTCTCAAAAACTTTCATATCCCAGGCTGTGCAATTCCCTTTCCCATCGTATACGCGTCATGTTTGCTGCAAATCCAGTTTGTGAGTGAGGAGCACCTTGAAGAGCCAACAAATCCATCACTCAGATAAGCACAGTGTCCGCCTCCTCTAATTTCAAACCTGCAACACAGAAGCCAGGAGCTACAGTCAGGCAGGGGCTGGGCATTGCCTGCAGTGTCCTAGAAGAAGAGAGGTGCTCCATGTTAATGCAACATCTCAATTAGCCATCAAGCCCCCACTGTACAGGGAGCAAAGAGGCCCATTGCAATTCCTCCCTGGCGGAAAGGGAGCAAATGGGGAAGAGGGAATTAAACAGAGCCACTTTGGGGTTAACAGGGCAGAGGGGCAGCCCCAGCTTTTATTCCAGGTAGATGTTTTTATCCCAATTCCTGGTCATTTCTGCCCCCAGCTGGGACCTGTGATTGGCTCTTGCAGGCCCAATTTCCAGCCAGAGTGCCCCAAAGGAAGGATTCCAGGAACCGTTCCCACGTGGCATTGAACACAGAGCCCACACGCACGCTCACTAGGACTTCCCCAGCAGGGATGCTTCTTAGACCAGCAGCTCTCAACCTTTCCAGACTCTATACCCCTTTCAGGAGTCTGATTTGTCTGGCATACCCCAAGTTTCACCTCACTGCAAAACTACTTGGCTTACAAAATCAGACATAAAAATACAAAAAAAGTGTCACAGCCACTGTTACTGAAAAATTGCTACTTTCTAATTTTTATCATACAATTATAAAATCAATTAGAATATAAATATTGTACCTGCATGTCAGTGTATAGTCTATAGAGCAGTATAAACAAGTCACTGTCTGTAGGAAATTTTAGTGACTGACTTTGCTAGTGCTTTTCACGTAGCCTGTTATAAAACTAGGCAAATATCTAGATGAGCTGATGTACCGCAAGGGAACGTGTACCCCTGGTTGAGAACCACTGTCTTAGAGCACTGAGAATCCGTTTCAACCCAAGGCATGCCAGGACAGATGGCTTTGTTACCGAGCTAAGGCCTGCTGTCCTATTCGGCTCCTTTTATCACAGCCACCACCATGCCCAACAGATGTCAAAGCCACCACCCCAGGAGTAAGAGTCCCATGCTCCACCCGGCACCTTCACACACTATCCCAAGAGTCGGATGAGTCCAGAGACAGACTCCGACAGAGCTCAGGGACCGCTCACAGAGCCTCCAGCTTCACAACTGGTTCCATGGAGGGCTGGTTAGGATGCTTGTTATCCCTAAAACTGTCTTCAGGGTGTTAGTATTACTGGGGCGGTTTCAGAACCCAAAGCAGTGGTAACTGAACTGTTTCACGCCACACGGTGTCAGGAACAAGCCAATAGGAACACAGCAATTTTGTCTGATGAAAGATTAATACAAGTAAGCGTGCTCTTAACTGCTATTTATTAGCGATTAAGCACACACACACCTAGAGTTTAGGACACCCCAGATATAGCTACCCACAGTCTGAGATGGTTTTAAGTAATCACCAGCCGGACTTCCAGGGGCCCTCCTTCCATCCCGCTGACAGGGGTTAAGATGTCAGATCCTTTCCCGGAGAATAAATACCTCAGAGCAGTCCAAGGAAGCTTCTTTTAATGCATCAGCACAATAACCTCCACTGGGTTGGGTCACCAATTTTCCCAATTTCAACAAACTACTTATTATTCTAAAACATTTTTAGCCTTGACAATATATTAGGGGCACCTAAAACCATGGTCGCTATTTACTTACTCTTTTCCATAAGTTTTTATTTTATTCTTCCATTTTAATTAACAAACGGCAAATATGCAGCTGTCTGAGCTTGTCTCAAAAGGCCTAAGATTATTCCTCGCTATGTGATGTTTGGTTATCAGCTGGCAGTGGCTGCACATACAAAATGGCTGACTGCAATGCTGCCAAGTTCTGGGATACACGCAGGAATGTCAAATTCCGGGGCAACGTCAGTATATAGAGGGACTCACTGGTTGTTGAATTCGGTGCCATTGGCCCATTTCCAGGGCTGGTCCTGGTCCTGCTTCCTCCAGAGGCCGAGCCAATGGTCAAGTTTGCCTTTATAGCGCAGCAGGAACGTCTTTATTAGAAATACAAAAACAAAGGGACAGCATGAATGAGACTCTGAGATCATGGTACTGAACCTCACCCACCCCAGAGGGCTCTGCACAACAGGGAATCTAAAGGCTTGTGGTACAGTTTTTTCAAAGGGGAATGCCCACTCACATTCCAGGAGGCTCAGGTGTTCAAAGGATGAGCATTCACCCTCTCCATTCACACTATACCCCTGCTCTTGTCTCCTGATCACTTCCTCTCCCCCCCCCCCCAACAATTTCCTGTAGAGGAGGGAAAGCTGCATGGCTCAACATGAATATAAGCTCTAGTCCCTCTCTGCAAGGCCACTCCGTACTTTGTATCCTCTCTCCCCCTCATCACTGGAGTGGGGCTAGGAGGACAGAGCCAGGCCGGGAGCAGAGCCGTGACCCTTTGCAGAGCCCAGTGGGGGTATACGCGGGCATAAAGCAGGCATCCTGCTCAGCTAGAAAGTCCTCCCACCCCGAGCATGGCAGCATAGCAGTGCCAAGTTCACAATCCCTGCCTGACACGCAACCAGCTCCACCGGCCAGGCTTTGGCTGACCCAGCCCAACCCAACGGAAGTGCTTCTCCTGCCTGGAGCTATGAAGAAAGGACAATCACATACTGAGCGCAGCTGGACTTTCATTCCCTTTGGCCTCCCAGCAGGAAAGGGACCAGAGCTCCTTCTGGAACTACAGAGGCTGGGCCCTACCCCAGTGCAGCCATTTCTGTCCTGCCAAGCCCAGTCTAGGTCATTATCAAGCATCCGTGCTGGTCTCTCTCTCACCATTTCCTGCTCGCTGTCAATCACAGCCAGGGAGGCACCAAGCGCAGAGCAGTTGCTCTGGCTGTTGTTCCAGTTCTCTTTGGCCTTGGAGAAATAGTAGCATTTCCCTCTGTACCCTACCCAGCCGTCCGGGCACCAGGGGCCAGAAGGGGGATTCGGAGAGGGGACCACAGCAGAGCCAGGATGGACCAAATATTGGCTTGCTATTCCTGAAAATGAGAAAGTAACGTAGTAAGAGCTTGTCCCTTCCTGCACCCAGGGGGAACAAGCCCCTCATATCCAGAGGCTCCTTAACCCTCTGCCAGATGCTCAGAGGGAGGTCAGAGGACACTAGAACTTGAGCCCCAGGGGTGAATTCAGTGAGGCTATAACCGACCCATGACACAGTGGCCTGCACAGAGAGCTAGGCCCAAACTCAGACTTAAAGCAGGAGGATGCCAAAACCCAGTTAAAGATGGGAGTTCAGAATAATCAGCTGGGATGGCTACCCTGGGGTGGGGCAGGCTGGTTCTCTTGAGGAAAGGAGACACCCCCTTCTGCCCATAAAACCCCACAAAAAAAATTCCCTCTCCCACGCAGAGTTCTGATCCCAAAAGGGGAAGTGCCAGAAACTCCAGGAAGTCCACGTGGGACTTCACTATTGCTGATGATTTTTACATGGCAGGCGCCCAGATACTGCAGTGATGGGCAGCAAGATAAATATGCTTTGAAACTTGACTCTTCGTTTAGGTTCTCAGCCACAGCCCTTTGCTAAAAAAGGGCTTTTGCACCGAATAATAAAGCACACTGTAGTTGGCACTGCAGGGGCTGCCTCTCCTGAGAGCAAGCTCAGCTTGGGACTGACTGAGGACCTCACAGCATCATCTCCCTCTCCCAGTGAAAGGGTGAAGCCGGTAGAAAGGCAAGGCCAGCAGTCTCATAATATCCTTCAGAGGGGTGGCACAACTGCCACACAGCTGGGCGTGGAGTCTGAATTCAGTCCAGTAAGTCCAATCTAGCTCCAGAGAGAGCCAGTATTTCAAAACAGGGAGTTGAAAGTTTTCTGTTTAAAGCTGAGGTGGAGAGAATGAGAGACTGGTGGCTAAAGGGAGGAAACAGGACACAGAAACCTGGCCACGGAGGGCTGGGACTCACCCAAGAAAGCTCCTACCAGAGCTCCTACCAGAGGAATCATGATGAAGGCATAGACTGGGGTTGGGACTTTGTTTGCTAGGCATTTGCAGAATGTGGAGTTGGCTCGATCACCTGAAAAAGAAAAGCTATTAATGGCGCTGGGTACTGCTCGGAGGGGGGAAAAGGGTCAGCATTAGTTACAATCAAGCCTGGTCTACACTGAGGAAATTTACAAGATCAGATGGGGCCACCATGGTCATCTAGCTGGACCTCCTGCATAGGTTCTATCTAGCTTTGCTGCTGGGCTCCATCAGATTTGCTTTCAGAAAGGGTAAATGGTGGTGGTGAAAATAGCTCTGGCTGAGCTGTCTCTACACTACAGATCCCCACCGGCCCTTCCATCACCAGTTCAACTAAAACACCAACATTTGAACCCGTGGGAGTTTCTCTTTGTGTTTTCCCAGCACACTAATGGCTACAAAGTCGGTGCCGTGGCAGGAGGAAGGATTTAACAATGCGCTCCCTGCTCTGTAGTGGGATACGTAGGGCTATTTTATTACACCTCTACCTCGATATAACGCGACCCGATATAACACAAATTCAGATATAACACGGTAAAGCAGCGCTCGGGGGGGGGGGGGGGGGGCGCACGGTGGGGGATCAAAGCAAGTTCGATATAACATGGTTTCACCTATAACATGGTA